TACGCAGAAAGTACAGGAGTCCTTCTGTAAGTTTACGTTACGTTAGTTTACGTTACTGTACTGGGAAAAGAAACGGCTACGATTTCGATAAAAAGGCACACACGAACATATTCGGGAGCAATTCGAAGAACTAAACTTTTCGTATTTGGAATTCTCAGGATTACGCCATGCTCCCGCTAAACTTGAACATAAGATCATTGAGATTCAGGTGCTTTAGCACGAGAGATTTTTAATTCCTGAACCATCAGCTTTAAATTTCTGAATTCGGGAGAATTTCCCATTCATTGTACTTGATGGAGAGGGTGAAGGCAACGAGAATGAGGGTAGACGCTGCCTTAGGAATTCAAAAAACCTTAGATCTATCGACGGCAGATAAAGCTATCATCTGAAAGTTCCCCCTCGTTTCCAGCTCTTTTACTGACACATCTCACTTGATTACCCATTTTACTGATACTTTGTGGGAGAAAACATGTTTATGGAGTTTTAATAGCTTATAAATCGCATAGAAAATACCGTAACAGCTTACCTCTTCAATGGGAACAAGATAACAGCACATCGTTGAACAAACATCACCAACCATACCCAATTTACAAAACAAGCAGATGAATTCGAAAAGAACAGCAGTATTTTACAAAGGAAGGGCCCTGAAATTGATAAAAAATTATCTAAAATACAAATGATACTCGATATTTTCACGCTTTATTCAAGCCTTATTTTACTTTGGATTTTTGGTCTCGAAAAGGGGCAAATACTTATTAGTCCGTTTCAAAAGTGGTCTCAAAGACGCCAACAAGTGTTTCCAAGGATTCTGCAACGAAATCAACAATTAAACGAAAACGTAGTATAATTTTAAAAACATTCTTGAAATTGTTAAATTGGTGAGAAACAACTTTTGTCTTGATCGAACGCCACCTCTCATAAATATCTAAAGAAAAGTACAATCGACTGAATTTCTCTACAGGACACTCTGATGTAAAGGTGAGGTAGTGAGAAGGCTTGGTGCTAGCGACTCTTGTATGTTAATAGCTCAAAAACATATTTAAAAGTAACTTTTTCCTAATTGGGCAGATGAGGAGACGGGTTATTTCACAAGAGCGCCGTCCCTTGTGAGGTATTGATCAATAATCGATCGCAGTCAATTCCCTAACCCCGCTATTAAAATACATATGCATTACTTTGAGATTATTGACTTCCCTCTGACTAAAGCCTGCTTGTGGATAGCCGAGGTTCTAGTGATTATCTTCTATGTTGGCTCTGGCCAGAAGAAAAAAAACTTTCACAAACAGGTTATTATTTTGCTTTTTGCTCATCATGGAATTCCCAAGGGTGCTGTCTTGTTTGCTCTGCAAAACAATACTTATGACGCAGCATTTCTCTTTGTCTGGCCAAACCTCAGAGGAATGATGAGAGTTAAACACTTCTAGGAATAGGAACATTAATAAAGTCTTTGGCGTTAAACAATCCTATTTTTGGGATGCGCCATCACTGTTGACTTCCATTTCACCTACCCCTAGAGGTAACGAGTTGAATATGTTACCTGTAGCCCAAATAAGCCTTACTATAGGATATACGGAGCTTTTTGATGTTCGGAAAAGAATAAAACCCAAATTTCGATTGATGATTTTCAGCATTTACTGAGAGCTTCGAGGTAAGTCGTATTTGGAGCTGTTAGCCCAACTCAGGATATGGAATCGATGGTTAGGCAAGTTTTCAAGGTAAGTTCAGCAATTCGAAAATACAATTTGATTTCCACTTGGTATCCATTGGATGCGGGTATAGACGAATTTCCGGAGACACTATTTTTTGAAAACGGCATTAATTGCTATTCAAAAATATTTTCGATTTTTTTTTTCAAAATTTTTGAAATAGCTATAAAGCCAGTCAAACCTTTCATAGAGATGAAAAGTGATTGTGACATGATATCGATAAGAATAATGAAGAGTGTCGTAAGATCGGCAAAGACGATCCAAACGAGAAATAAAAAATGATGTGATTTTTTCAAATGTAACAGCCTGACAAGTGCCTGAAAAATGAAAAAAATTAGAAAAACATAATATTTATCATAAGTAAACAGTTTTCAATGCTGGTAACCCTACTTACCCATGAGATGACTACTACTGATATGAAGATGATGACCAGTATCAACCAGAATTGCACTTGTGATACCATCATCCATACGCGAAGCAGATTCTCTTCACCTTGAAGAGACTGCGACATCTACAAAAAAAGGCTGCTCGAAGGTTCATATCTCTCAAAAAAGTCCGGAAAACGATCGATATATCGATTGGCAAGCCGTCAATAAAAGCATTCAGATACAATAAATTTTAAAAAACTGGATTATAAGAACTAGAAATTTATTCATTCAATCAAGAAAATGGCAAGCAAAAATGGAGGTGCGCATTCACTTCAGCTTTTTTTGGAAACCAGATATTAAAGAATAGAGAGAAAAAGAAAGATAATCAAGAAAAATGCTGATGTCTGCAGAGAAAAAAAAAGGAAAAATGGAAGAATTATTGATTGATTAATTTCCAGGAAAGTCAAAGAAGGGTATTCGGGAGGAAACGGGAAGGAGAGGCATGCCAAATCCAAAGATGAGATAAAAATTTGAATGTGAAACACGGGCAATGATCAAGAAGCGACAATGTCCAACGAATCGATTATCGATTGATGATGACGGCAGTACAGTCTCAGCTTTCATTATCAAAGAGCTTGCCCGAAGTTGTTCACTGAGCAGAAGATTGGCGGTCTTGTTAGGTGACAGGTAGAGTTTGAAAGGTCCTCTAGCGGAGCAAGTGGCCAAGAGTGATCGGTTGGATGCATGAAGCCATTTTTAACTTATCTCATACTTATGGTTTTCTTACCGTGTAAACTGTAGGTAATGGGTCCCTCTGAGCATATGTTATTAATCTACCGACAGATCAGTCCCCTCTAAGCTCCTCCCCATCTAAACGTCATGATATGGAACGAGCAGCTTGTCGGCGACTTAAAACTGACATACATGAAAACAGAGGAAGAACAGAAGATGGCACTCAACTAATAATTGTCAGGTTTTTAAAAAGTAATGGGAGAGTTTTCGAACTAAATGGCGAACAGGTGTAGTGGCAAGTGACGCAATGTCACACCCGTATGGTCGCGGGTTTAGTCCTGACGGCCACATACGCATTCAATACACCTCTACGATTCTGATTTGAGGTCGAATACGGGGCGCATCCCAGAAACTGGATAGAGTAACACCAAGAACTCTTCTCGATCATAAAAAAATATGTGCATGGAAATAACAACAAAACAAATCAACACGTGTAGAGGTTGAGTAAACAGTTCTTGAGCGAATACTGGAGATTGCCCTATGTAGGTTCTAAAAAGAAGAAACCAAAAAAAGAGAAGTAGGGCGGAAGGAAACTGAGAAAGGACCGAAGAAATGGGCGAAGTAAAGTGGAAGNAAATACTTATTAGTCCGTTTCAAAAGTGGTCTCAAAGAAGTGTTTCCAACAAGTGTTTCCAAGGATTCTGCAACGAAATCAAC